TCAGATTACGCTATCAGCGTGGTGGTAATCAGCGAAGAGGAGTGGGAACAGAAGATGGTATACTACGTAAGTAAGACATTGGCAAGTGCAGAAACTAAGTACCTGCCCTTAGAAAAGTTAACACTAGCCCTGGTGATGACTTCCAAAAAATTGAATCACTACTTTCAAGCCCACAAGATTGTGGTGCTAACTGAGCATCCCTTGAAGTCCTTGTTGCAGCATGGAGATTTGACAAGTAGAGTAGTCAGATGGGCAGTGGTACTAAGCTAATACGACTTGGAATTTAGGCCTAGAACAACAATCAAAGGCCAGGTTCTAGCCGACTTTATGGCCGAGTTTACTCATGGCGTAATTCCAAGGCAGCTTCGGTGAGCTGCATCTTAGGATGTCCAGGGGAATAGGAAGAAACCCAACTGGGGCCAAAGAACCCCACACCAGCAACGCAACAGAAGGAAGAGAAACCAAAGCCCTGCGATATCTACATCAACGGCTCCTTCCATTTGTTCGTTGATGGAAGTTCAAACCATCAAAGAGGGGGGTAGCAGTGGTGTTGGTATCGCCAGATGGGCAAATAATTGAGCAATCTATTTGTTTGGGGTTCAAGGTCTCAAACAAAGAAGCAGAGTATGAGGCGCTGATTGCAGGATTAAAACTAGCACCAGCCATGAAAGGTGATGAGGTGGTAGTCTTCTGTGACTCCCAGCTTATTGTGAATCAAGTAACGGGAGAGTATGCAACCCAAAATGAAATGATGATAGCCTATGTCAAGGAGTTTGTCAGGCTACTAACACTGTTTGAAAATTGTCGGCTACAGCAGGTCAGCTAAGATGATAATAGTCATGCCAACGCCTTGGCAAACCTGACTAGTGCAATAAAGTCTAGGGAACCAAAGACAATCATGATTGATTATTCGACAAGGCTAAGTGTAGAGCCTTTGATAACGGAATACGAAGCAATGTGTGTAGAAATGGATCCTAGTTGAATGGACGCCATAGTTGTGTTGTAACAACCCAGATTTTTAATTATTCTGTAAAATTTATACTAATATTATTTAATTACAGTTGGAAAAATATATGATTTATTTTGTATTATTATGTGTAATTTTGTGAAATAATATAATTATTATGAATTTAGGGGTCAAAGTATAAATAAATAATAATAATAATGACTGTGATAGTAAAATAAATAATTAATTTATGTTGGTATACAATAGAGTGTAATTTAATTAAGGATTAATTATGTTTATATAATTATATTAAAATATTAGGCAAAAGTGTAATTATCTTAAACATCTATTAAAGATAAGAATGAATCTTTATAATTGATTATCGAATCTGTTGGGAGATTCAGGGCCCCGTATGCGCCTTATCTCCCTATAAATGGGGAGGCGTTTCACTTGGAGGAAAAAGAAAGAAGAAAGAAAAGGAAAAGAAGGAAAGAAAGAAAAGAAAGATAGAAAGAGAGGAAATGAAGGAAAAAAGTAGTGGAAGTTGAGAGGGTCTTTGATAGTAGAAAGAAAGAATAAGGTATTAAAGTTAATGTGAGTTATATTATACCTTGAGTCACCATAATATATTTTACATATGTTTTGACTTACCATTATTTATTTTATATAAGCTATGTTTTATAAATTATTATAAATTATATTAATATTTCAATTACATGGATTATTTTCTGAACCCTATTTGCTTAAAATGAAACTCATAAATATGTTTATTTATATTTTAAAGAATAGTTAACTATAACCTTATATACAATTATATTTTGTAAGTACCACCACGGGAGTCCCATGCCTTGGGGGACTTAAATAACAATTGGCCTCTGTTTGACCATTTTGTGGTCCTCTGTCTGTCATGGATCCATTGACCTCTGTTCTGTGCGAAACAAAGTGCTGTGCGGAGGTAAGTGCTACACTATTGTGGGAGCCACCTCTATAGTCCATACGAGTCACCTCTTGAGTCCGTACCTCTGTTCTGACTATCACTCTTGTGACCTTTATTCTGTTCTGTTCGGTGCTGTGGTTATGGTTATTTATTTTTGTATTTCAGTTTCTGCTACTTAAATGATTTATTTACTAAACTGAGTTATGTAAATGTTTTGGTCTAACTAACTATCCATGGTTATTTCGTGTCCCTTATACTCTTGGTATAATATTTCTCACTCTGCCATGTGCTTATAGCTGTTTACCAATTTTCAGGAAACAATGCAATTCAGAAATAGCTTTTAGAAAGTCTTAGACGCGGGGTTGCGGAATAGACACATACAGCACTTTTATGATTTTTTTATATATAAATATCGGTCTTTTTGGTCAATAAATTTTGTAATAAAAATAGAAACTCAAATGATTATTTTGGTACCCTCATTTAAATACTACTTCCGCTCGCGTTTGTTAATTTGTTTATGAATTGGCCAGAGGTAACCTCAGTTACTGGCCATCACGATGCTTAATCCTTGGGTACGGGGAGCGGGTCGTGACATGTGTTCCTCAAAGAAGGCAGGCTGCCAAAGGGCAAAAGGGAAGCACACAAAATCAAATTGAAATCGGCCAGGTTCTCCTTGTTAGCAGAAGGCCATCTGTACGGAAGATCCTTCACTAGACCTCTACTTCGGTGTGTGCACCCCTTTCAGGTAGAGGACTTTTTATATGAGATCCATGAAGGAGTTTGTGGAAGCCATGCAGGGGGTAGGTCACTTGTCTATAGAGTTATATCCCAGGGATACTTGTGGCCATACATGTAAAAGGATGCTGAAGCCTATGTCCGAAAGTGTGAGAAGTGTCAAAGATTTGCACCTTTGATACATCAACCAGCAGCAGATCTGAACCCAGTGTCCAGCCCTTAGCCTTTTGCCTAGTAGGGTATGGACCTAGTGGGACCTTTATCCCAGGCAACTGGACGGAGAAAATTCTTACTAGTAGCCACAGACTACTTTACAAAGTGGGTGAAGGTTGAACCCCTTACGAAGATTCGAGATATTGATGTGAAAAAACTTCATTTTGAAGAACATCATCACTAGATTCGGAATCCCGAGGGCCATTATAGCAAACAATGGCACCCAATTTGACAGTAAGCTAATCAAGAGTTTTTGTGCAAAATACAAGATTAAGAATTATTAGCCTACTCCTAGCTTCCCTCAGAGCAATGGTCAGGCAGAAGCATCTAACAAAACCGTCATGGATGGGATCAAGAAGAGGCTGGAGGCAGCCAAGGGAAAATGGGCGAAAGAATTGCCCATTGTGCTGTGAGCATATCGGACTACGCCGAGAAGATCAACTGAGGAGTCTCCTTTTGCCATGGCTTATGGCATTGAAGCGGTCATCTCACTGGAAGTCGGCATCCCTGGAATCAGAATCCAGGGAGTGGAGAATGGAACCGACGAGGCATTCCTTGCCCGAGATCTGGATCTGTTGAAAGAAATAAGAGAGAGAGTAGTAATTCGGCTAAGACATACCAACAACAGCTTGCTAGGGCTTACAACAAGAAGGTTAACTTAAGCGAATTCAAGATTAGGGACCTCGTCCTAAGAAAATTCGTTGGAAATAAGAAGGATCCTAGGGAGGACAAGCTTAGCCCAAACTGGGAAGGGCCATATCGAATCATCTTAGTTGCCAGCAATGGAGCATGTTGACTTGAAGATGTTGACAGCATTGAGTTGCCAAGACCTTGGAACACTTGCAATTTAAAGTTCTTTTACCATTAGTTTTTGTTTTTTGCGATTTATGTAATGATTAGCCGAAGTCTTAATACAATGTTAGCTTGATTTTATTTTTTATTATTATTGAAAAACTTGTGCGATAGGACTGAAATAGTCTTATGATGATGTTTTCGAATGAAATATAATGAATAACTTAGACTTATCATATGGTAGAGTTGAATTATACTTACCATATGATAGAGTTAAACTAAGTTGGCGAGGTTTTCGAATAAAATACGATATATAACTTAGACTTATTACATGGTAGAGTTGAATTACACTTACTATATGATAGAGTTGAACTAAGTTGACGATGTTTTTGAATGAAATATGACGAATAACTTAGACTTATCACATGGTAGAGTTGAATTACACTTACCATATGATAAAGTTGAACTAAGTTGACGATGTTTCCGAATGAAACATGACGAATAACTTATGCTTATCACATGGTAAAGCTGAATTATATTTACCATATGATAGAGTTGAACTAAGTTGGCAATGTTTCAAAATGAAACATGAAAAGTAACTTAGACTTGCCATTACGACAGAGTTAAACTAAGTTTAGTCTAGTCACAGAGACACTGGGGTAGAAAATCTCAGCTAGGATTTGTTTGAATCAGACTTCGGCAACAAAACATAGATGTGTGCTTAATGTGAACATAAATGGTACTTAGGTTCACATTAGGGGGCAAGAATGAGAAATAAGCTTGACACTTGTTAAAATTTTTGACAACAATTTACAAGTTGGAGTCAGCCAGGGTAACCAGATAAGGAGATACTCAAGGTATTTGTTACTCGAAATAATCAACTAGGTTGTCAAGCTTGGAAGGGTTGGAAAGATGAAGTTTTGAAAGACAACAAGTACAAGTTAGGAAACAATACTTGTTGAATGTTATTCAAAGAATTTTTAGAAAGTGCTCGTTGGTCGAGATCACTGCAAAAGGTGAACTCCGAGGTAAGTAGGTCCGCGATGACCAGCTAAGGGTGCAACTGAGATGAAGTGTATCCGAGGTGATACATGTCAAATGTGTTCTAACTTAAAGTGATTACACAGTTAAGGTGTACTTAGAAAAATTGCAAAAATGTTTCAACTGTGGAAACATACAAGATACAAAAGCAATGAAGTAAGCATATACAAAGAGAAGCATTCAAACACTTGGACAAAAAGAAGACCTGTATTCAGGAAGAAAACTTGTTCAAATACAAAGCAGAGGACACATCGGCCAAAATAAAACTAAAATTGTTTAAAGTGACAAAAAGCTACAACTATTTAAGAAGAAAGTACAAACCAAAAAGAGAAGTTTTTAAGTACTGGGATCTTGGGTAATGTTTTCCTTGGACTGTGTTGCCTCGGCAATTGGCAGTGTTTCAGCCTCGGTAGTCAACTGGGCAAATTTGTCGACCTGAATCTTGGCATCAATCTCTAGTAAGGTCTCGTCAAGGCCCCTCTCGGCGGCCTGGACCGCGGCCTGTACCTTGACCTCATAAGTTGTCTTTGTTGGAGAGGTATTCTTGGGGACCTCGTCTTCATCCTCTCCGGTCAAGTCCAGGACTTGATCATTGAGAGTGGAAGACTTGGCCAGTGTGTCAACCTCGGCCTCAGTTGTGGCTTCAACTACAACTTCGACCTCGACCTCGTCTTCATCATCGTCTTTGGCCTCAGCCTCAGAAGTATCAGACACAGGGGGAAAAGGAACTTGCAGTTGGGTGATATCTCAGAGAAGAGAATCAATAGTGATAGATAACTTGTTTAGGGTTGCTGTCCAGCTGAGGTAATATCCTTTGTTGCAGGCTTGGTTAACTTGGGCTTTGTAGGTGTCATGCACATCGGCTTGACCTTCGGCATAGGCCTTTTCATCAGCCGCCTTGATCTTAGCCTTTTTGCTATCCAGAGCCTCCTTAAGCTTTTCTTTGACTTCAGTAACTCTGACCTCGGTAGCCTTAGCCTTGGCCTTGGCTGATTCGGCAGCGGACTCAGTTTCTTCCTCTTTAGCCTCGACCTTGCCTTGAGTAGTCCTGACAGCCTTGGCCTTATCCATTAGATTTCGGTTACTAGCTTCGGCCTGGTTGAGGAAAGAGAGGAGATTGGTAGCTTCTTGAGTCTTTTTTACCAAGTCCTTCTTCATCAACTCGACCTTGACTACATAAGAATGCACATGCTAGATAACCTACAAGAAAAAGAACAAGTTGAAAAACTTTGACTAAATACTGAAACGAAAATAGAAGAAATGAAGTTAAGCAATTTACCAAAACTGAGTGTTGCATCATAAGTGCAAAATTCTCGTATTCATGGAGCTCGGCCATGTGGTTCATATCGACTAGAAGTAGCACAGCTGTAGAAAGTGCAGCCTCGACCTCTACGCTTTCTATAGAAAGTGCAGCCCTGACCTCTACGCTTTCTATTACATTATATCCAGCTCTTAGAGGTCGATCATCGACCATGACCTTGGGGGCCCAGGTCTAATCACAAGGAAAGCTATTCTCTTTCTTTGAGCAATCAGACTTCAGCTTCTTAGATGGTGGGACGTCGGATAATGCGGTTTCGGCTGGCCTCTTTTCAGTGTCAGCTAGTTTCAATATCGGCATAGAATCCTCAGGATCCTTCTTGGATTTAGAAAGAACCTGAGTCATTGTAGCCTTAGTCTTGGCCTTCTTCATTCATTTCGACTTTGGCTTGGACTAGGATGGAGAAGGAGAGGATTGGACAGTCACAGCCCCTGGGATATCGGTTAGAAGGTTCTCAACGATGGCCGGTTTGCGACCCATCTTGTCGGCAGTTGTATCAATGGTAACTCTGGTACCAAAGTGGATTGCAGGAAAGGTTGTGAGCAGATTAGTTGGGTCGTAAGCTGATGCCTTTGAATCTCGATGCTTGTGACTTCAGGTACGACCAGTTGGGGTGTTTGAAACACGACTTTGGTATTGGCGCTGAGCTGGTGGAATGAGTTGGGCAACTGCAGAAGTTGAGAGCTGCTCAACGAGATTAGATGAAGAGGCCTGATCTGGCCTTGGAGATAAGGTAGCTGGAGGAGTTGTGGTAGACGGAGGAGATTTGTTTTTTCGAGAGACGTCGGGCAAAAGGCTCCGGTATGTTGGTATATAGTTGAGAAGGATGAGAGCTTTACGGTAGTCAACAGGAAGGCGAAGAAGTCGGATGAAATCACCACTGGGAATGTAAGTCTAATAGAAGTTTTTCTCTGGCTGGGGGAGAGTTGCAAGGACAAAAGGAGAACATTAGAACAGAAAAACAAAAAGATTGTTAAATAAGGTAAAGTACATGCTGGGGTCACATGTGGCGGACATCATATGGATCGGGTTAAGATTTCGAGATGGGGGGACTTGATTACTGGCTGGGAGTGGATTTGTGGTTACGTTTGGTTTCTGAGATGGAGCGATCACCTTGTTGTCAATGAGATCCTGAATCTCATGACGCAATCGAAAGCACTGGTCGGTGTCATGACAGGGCTACTGGTGAAAAACACAATATTTTGCGGGGGTTATGCTTGGGTTGAAGAGGATTAGGAAGTGAGCGAGGTTCTAAGGGTTTTAGGTGCCCTTTCTTGACTAGCACCTGTATAGTTTTGGACAGGGTGATGTACAGTTGGTTAAAAGTCCTACTCTAAGTTCAGATGGGGTTGGATGATGTTTGTGGGCCTATGTTGGCAAAAGGGTCGACAGTTTTTGTTGTGGTGACAACACTTACATCCGAAGGCCTCGTAGCTGTGCTACTACTGACAACATTGGAACTGCGAACAAACGACCACTTGGCTAGATCCTTATCCTTAGTAATAAGTCCCTATTTCATGACATCCTCAATTTGAAAACCCCCATTTCATGAAGCTCTGTGAATGTAAATAGAGGTAGAACAATCATCTTCTGCAGCAATTTGCCATGCAGATTTCAGACAACCATTCTGATTTGATCCTTTTCTGAAGGTCGAGTGGTCATCATCAAGGCTTTGGCCCTCCATCTTGTCACAAACTCAAAGAAACCCTTCTTCGGCTCTTGATGTGTTGCCTCGAGATCACGAGTTGTGACCTTAATTTGTGTGTTGTAAGAGTACTGAGCAATGAATTCTTCGGCCATCTCCTCCAAATTCTGTTTCACGAAATCTTCCAACATAGCATACCAAATGGCCGTTATACCCGACATGGTGTGACCAAAGAAAGACAGCTTCTGCGGTCTAGTTAAGTCCATCAGCCATAAGATATCAAAAAACAATCACAGGTGAACCATCGAATCCCCGAAACCGTCAAAACGATCAATGTGCGGCATCTTAAACGATCCGGCAATGTAACTACAGAATCAGTGTATCCATCCTCTATGTCCAGGATAGAGTTAACCCCTTGTGCTCTCTTGAACAGCTTCTCTAATTTGTTGACTTTGAGTGCAGTTGGATCGACATCGAATTCAAATGGTGCCCCGGTCTGATAAACTGGTACTTTGGAAGCGTGTATTGGGATTGACTCTGTTGGATTGCCCTGATTTTCTTGAACATTGGCAGTATTAGCAGTGGCACTGGGCACAGGGATAACTGTGGTAGGTATATGTGATGCAAAGGCCACTGCTGGTTGCGGTTGCTGTTGCTATAGCCTGGTTATAACCGCGGCCTGACGAGCTATAACCTCAGCTTGACAAACCGCGTCATGTTATAGTGTTTTGACTGTCTGTAACAGATAGTGTATCAGTTCCTCCATGCTGGCAGGGGGATACTGTGCCATTGGAATAGGTGACTGGTCTTGTGTTGGATTGGACGTGGATGACTATTCCCGAACCGGGCTGGACACAGGTAAGCTAAGGAGTGACTACTGTAGGAACTAGACTGGTGAACTATGTCCGATTCTCCTCTGTCTTGTAACCGGTGAGAGCAAGGTAAACACGGGTTGTCCCCGAACAAGATCCTCAGCCTTGCAAAGTCTTCTGACTCGTGTCCAGAGTACTTGGGAGATATTCGAACTTTCTGCAGCTATGATTTTAAACTACCTAACAAAAGAAATAAAGCAAAATAGCAGCAATCAGAAACCGCATAACACCTTAGCTAAGATGTTATCAACACAGACATGATCAAAGCTATAGGACTGTACTCTACACTGAATTCTGCCCAAAACAGATAACAACCTTGCAACTGATATGCACGTTCCTGTACAATTTCACTCTAAAGCACATTCCAGTTAAGAGAGAAAGAGCCAAAACACCCCTATGAGGGGGGGTAGGGTTACCCTATCTTAGTTTTTGTCATGAATTAGGATTCACTATTTCAAACAAGCGGTTTCACGCAATCCTGCATTTTGGGTGAGCGTCTTGTCCTGGTTTGGCACAGTCACTATGGCTTTCTATATGTAGCTAGGCCAAACAGTCAAAAGAGGGTACCTCATCAAGACTACCTAATATACCTCTCACACCTAACACTGAGAAGTGAAACGAGGATCAAACGGTACAGCGGCAGTCTAGATCCAAGGGTTGTGATCCAACATGGCAGAGCCTATGACCGGTCAGCATTTTGGCAAGCTTTTGGGCATGCCTCCGGCAAACCGTCCAGGAATAACAGATGGCAAACACAGTGACTTAAGCGCACCAATGCAAATGCAATACAATGCAAAGAACATATATGTGCAAATAAAATTTCACATCATGCTTTCAAGTCAAGTTCTCTACTTTCCCTAGCAGAGTTGCCAGAAACTGTAGTTTGCTTTTCGTGCACCTTTCGAATACGTTAGCCCTACAGTTCAAACTCTCGTGGTTCTGAATCTGATCTTACAAGTGTAATGCGAAATAGATAAACACAAAAGACTCCAAATTCGACAAATCTTTTGAAAAATCGATGTTGAATCACATTATGCATTCAAGCAAGTATATCACTTAAGCACTTAGCCTTATGGCAAGCATGCTAGACATGGCAACAATCACACGTGTGTGATATGCTAAAGCACAAAAATGCTCACCTCATACTTTAAGGCAAGCCAAAAGAAACGAAAGAGTTAGAAAACATGCATGTTCCTAATTAATTCAATTTTGACTAATGCGACACAAACAAGATGCAATTAATAGACTCGGCTACTAATATGGCATGTGAATCAATATAATAGCATGCGGTTTAAACACATTTTCACAGAGGCATTTAAACGACAATGTTTGTTAGAATGATGCGCCGAGCCTAATGCATGCAAGACAAAAGAATGCTAATCACGGCAAATGCTAAGGAAACATGATGTCCTACACTATCCATCATTAAACAAACAAATAAAAGGGAGATAGACGTGGGGTTGGAAGACATTCACACATTATTACATATTGGCCCTCGCACAAGAGGGTCCGAATAAATGTCCTAGCTAATTACTACGAATTAACTAACTATTACAAACCAAATGGAATAAATTAACTACATTAGCTAATTATTACAAATTGGGAATTGAACTAACTAAGTAATTAACTATTACAAGTTCACCACTTTAAGTACAACATACTACGATAACAACATAATTTAAACGGGCCCCGAAATGCTAGGGATGGCTCATGCATGAACGCGGATTTCTACCCAAAAATGCCTCTGTTTCGCTGCCAAAATGCTTCTATTTTGCATTTAGAGAATTGCACTATTTTTTTACCTCTGCCTCTGCTCTGTTCTGTAGGAAAAAGGAAGCTGATTGGCTAAAAAAAGGTGGCCGGCAAGCTAGAAGTGGTGGCCGGCCACCCACTAATGTTGGGTTTCTCCTGCTGCAACAGAAAACAAACAGAGCACAAACAGAGCATTCCTAGGGGATGTTTGTCTACCCTACCTCTCTTTATCATCAAACAGCTCAAATAAGGGGTAGGCTTGATTTACTAGCCATCAATTGATGCAAATTCAATGCATGATGGCCTATGAATCAAGGGGTACAATTTCGATAAATGCATAATTAAAGACTCATGAACCTTCTCCCTATCATGATGATGATCAAGGGAAGCGGTTGACATGGACTCTTGAACCGTTTTAATCACTAACAAGTATGAAACGACTCAAGACTCAATGGGTTTAATTAACATCCAATTGAACCCAAACCATTTTATTATCTTGCTCCATTTTAAGCCATTAATTACCCATTTTTAATTACCTTCCCATTCATTTGTCCATTTTGTCCAAAATGAAGATTAAGTCCACTAAAGGAGGGAAGTGTCAAACTAAGGGTTAGTTTAGGTATGAGAGAGATGTTATACCGTTGGTAATGAATCTTCGAAGAGATTAAACCATTAAGCACAACAATCTCTATCCCAAGCTTAAACAAGTAATCGGTTTGAAACAACTCTCAAAGCAAGGAAGAAGCTAATAAATGAAGGAAGTATAGAGGTGATTAGAGATGAACACAAGTATGGAAAACTTGAAATAAATGCTATCAATTCAAATAGGTTGGTGTTTAATGCCTAAAACATCAAACATATGAGAACTATTACACTACAAGCATGCTATACAAAGCTCAAATGAAACTAACAACCTAAAAAAGTCCCAAAACAGTCAAAAATAGCACTGGAATTCATATGGAAAAGCTTGAACAAGTGAGCTGCAATATGAAGAAAATTAAGCTAGTAAACAAGCACAAGGAGGGGAGGCTAACCCCTCCATTTTTTGGGACTTTAAAACACCATTTTTAACCTCT